CATCATTCTTCTTACAGGCCAAAGCCAATCTGCTCATAGCCCCCTGTATTAGCAATGCCTTGTTGGCACAGCAAAACATGCAAAGCCAATGTGAGTTAGGCTTTGAACATCTTTTATATGCAGTGGGACTTAAACGGGTGCACATTTTGTGGAACCATTTATTGTATTCGTCACACTGCATTCCCTCTTCCACAGGGAACAAACAGTTTGGTTGTCCACATTTGTGGGTACTACCAAACATTTTAGTCTGATTAAGGTGTAATACACAATATGATCACAGTATGAACCACAAGACAAACTCTAGCAAGATGTCAAACCTTAACTAAAGTACTTTAAAGTATCAATTAATACAGACCAAGAATGCTTTCGAATGTAATGAATACACAAAAGCCAAAAAAACTCAGTAAAAAATCACCTTAACTGGAGTAGATTCAATTAAAGTGTAAATCGTAGTTTTGATACGTAATTTACGATCAAAACAGTTTAAAAATTTAACGAGAAACAATACCACTGTCCTTTTTAGATAGCGCGCGTCTTGATGAATAAACATACAGTGAAAAATTGACAAAACAAATACAAATAATATTAAAAACTATTTAGAAAATAAGCTTGTCAGTCATATCTCCACAGTTTATTATCGGTATTATTATCACCCTGTAAAAATAAGTATATATATTTGTGATTGTACAGCTTTGAAAATGAGTTTAATTGGAACTAGTGAAAAAGTATACTAACACAGTACTTGCTTTAAAAATATTGAGTTATAAAGAGGTTTAAAGATAAGTGTTAACTTACTTACTTACTTTCTTACTTACACCTGTTACTCCCAATGGAGCATAGGCCGCCGACCAACATTCTCCAACCCACTCTGTCTTGGGACTTCTTTTCTAGTTCCATCCTATTCTTGTTCATTTTTCTCATGTCTATCTCCATTTCTCGGCGTAATATGTTCTCTGGTCTTTCTCTTTTCCTTTGGCTTTGAGTGTTAACAAAATCTATTATAAAAACAAAAGCTATGTGGAATATTGTTTTTTAGCTTTTTAACATACCTAGTCATAGTTTACTAATTTATAAATCTCAAATTAGTTGTTTTCTTCACAGTTGACTAGATCAATGATCATATATAGTTCAACATGCATTCAACTAAGATGTAGGACTTTCACAGTGTCTTTGATAAATCTAGCTAAACAATAATATCTACAAAAAGCTCTTCTGATATGATACAACATATACTCACTACTGATCGTCTGCAAGACGTTTTTCCTGGAGTTCTAGTGTGAAGCAGTGACCACTGGGGTTCAACCGAGTGTGTTGTGAGATAGTAATTCACTGAAGACAATGATGGATGTGTCACTCAATTTCGTGGATTAGTTGAAGTTAAAAATTAACATCGTTGGATGCAGCCCGACTCATTGGTCTAGTGGTTAAACGCTAGCATGCGAGTCTGTTAGGTCGTGAGTTCGAATCTCGAGGGGTGGAATCGTGGATGCGCACTGCTGAAGAGTCCCACAATAGGACGAAACGGTGGTCCAGTGATCTCAGGCTTTTCATGATGGTCTAATTTCAATTGACTCATGATCTCAACTATTGAAATTAAACAATAACTGATGATTTGTGACCGTAATGAAGCTCTGTCATTCATATGTTAACACAGGGGAGCACCAAGTAGTTTGTTTTGACTCATCGACTATGAAAACTTTTATCTTCATCAAGACAACTGCTTGTACTAAGCTGAAGTATAAAAGGATTACAGGATATATGCATTGTTAGATCTATCGAAGCGTCCAAGTCACCCGATTGAGATACGCGCAAAATTGAAGTTTCCAAAACAACGATTTGTCTACAATAGCGGTTCTTTATTAAATAATACACTAAATTTAGTTACAAACCTCAACTTGTGAGGTGTCTAGGCGTTTGAACGCGTCCTTCAAGAATGAAAATAACAAAGGCTTCCTGTAACAGTAACATAAAGAATAATTATAACGTACGATATTACAAAGAACAGCTGATAGCTGTGTCTAAATTTGGTAACAGTTTGCGAACAACCGAAACCCGAACCAAGAGCAAACAGTATGGAAATTGTTGCGTTTAAACAAATGCACAGAACTGTGGATAACCGCTACAGTAATTGAAGCACAGTGATTATGATAATAAATGCAATGATTAGTACAATAAACGTTAAAGATATATGTGAACATTTCAGAATGTTACAGTACAATTTGCGTTACAACATAAGTGTGAAAATTGTTAGGAATACAACTACTTACTGAATGTAAATAAGTAGTATAAGACAATATACAAAAGAGTAGAAAGAGTTCGAGTAGGAACTATGTAAGACAAACTTAACATGCATCAAAACGACTTTTAAACAATTACCCTTGTTTTTTATATAATGATTGAGTCTTATAGTATTCTACATAATATTAACAACTAACTACCAGCATAATTTTTAAGTGTATTAATACGTCAATCAACGAGTACCTTGAGCTCATCTAATGGCATGTATCGTATTAATGTTTCTGATTATTGGACTGATTGTTTTCCATTGATACGATCAAAGGATATATTCGTATTTTTTTATAACTTGTGAACTATTTGCCCTGTTTACTGTATAACTTAACGATACCGCCAATTAGAGAGCAGTGAATTATCGATCGGACCAACAACGTGTAGCGTGGCGTCGAGTTGAGATTAACTGTGAACACCGCTACCCAGAAACACGTGCCAGATAAATCAGAAGGCGAGGATTGAACGTAACAAGATTTATTTCGTTGGCGATCTCGTGGTATTGAACGAATACCGAGATCGTGCCAAGAAAAGGTACAAGCGAAAGCAGAAGACAGGAGTACGTGCGAACAGTACCAAAAACCGCGGAACAATGATGGAAGGTAATGGAAGCACAAAAAGGCTATAATTAGCACAGTTAAACAAAAGCACATTAAAACAAACGCTGGTACAGTTGGTTATAATAATAATTGTTTTTATTAAACCAGTCGTGTTCTCGTGATAAACGTGAGTCACTACAAACGTATAAAATCCGTGTGAGCAGTCTAGAGATCTTATTGGTTCTGCTTCTCACCTAGCCCACACAGTTAAGTCCAGAACACCAGTCTCAGCCTCTGCAATATGAATTTTTTGTTTAAAACATACTGCGGTTATATACAAACCAAACAGACCACATCGAACCATAAAATAGGAAACAACATTTTTACAAGAATTAGCCAAATGTGGCTGTGAATGTGGGAGATAGCAATTACTAGACAGGGTATAACTCAAGAATGGTAAATCGTATAATAATAGTCTAGGAGTCAACATAAAGCTTATAATAAAAGTCACGTGAATATGCATAGTTTAGCTGCTTAACGATTACACATTAAAAATATATGTATCGTATTTGTGCATAAATCGATCCAAACAGTTACCATTCATAATTCTTGCTGGAATATAACACTTTATAACACCATAGTAGAGGAGACACTTGAAAATCTATTGCTTTACTCAAGATTCGCCTATAATGGGAAGTTCGATCTACTAATTACATAATTGGTTCAGTATTGGAAAACAAATCAGAAGAATGAATTAGCTCCACTGAAAACATGAAATATCATCTTCTTTAGAATCTGAGTTATATAGATACAATAATACTAACGTTCATTTCATCATTATATTCAATGTCATCTATCTTTATCCATTTGTTTGAGTATTAGTTGTCATTTTCAAGATTTTTAACAGACTTCAGTATATATTCAATAATAATAATAATGACCTAAGTATACCTTGATGGTAGTTCGCTGATAACATGTACTTATGCAAAAATATTACTTCTACTTACTTAATTACGCCTGTTACTCCTAATGGAGCAGAGGCCGCCAACCAGCATTCTATAACACACTCTCTCTTCTTTTCTAGTTCCATCCTATTCTTGTTCATTTTTCTCATGTCTATCTCCATTTCTCGGTGTAATGTGTTCTTTGGTCTTCCTCGTCTACTCATTTGGCCTTGAGGATTCCATGTGAGGGTTTGCCTTGTGAGGCAGCCGGGTGCTTTTCATCAATATGTGTCCTATCCACTTCCAGCGCATCTTAATGATTTCTTCCTCCGCTGGGATCTTGTTTTTTTCCACAGGTGGTTGTTGCTAATATACATTCTCAGTTAAACTGTTCAGAGATTATTCTCAGTGGATAAACTTAAACGAATACAATTATTCTTATGTTTATAGTTAATTGTAAGATGAAGTTACGGAGAAACATTGGAATTCTGTAACTACAATTTTTACTGGTTTTAAGCATTTTACTTTAATCCAAACATTACCTAGTATAATCCTTACAGTGAGTCATCATGGTTTTCAATTCACTAACAAAGTGTTCTGAAATAAAATAAACCATCAATATAGGGTTGTGGAGATTATTAAGTTTTTGATTGAGATCATGAACCGATTGGTGTTAGACCACCATCGAAAACCTGGAATCACTGGATGGCCGTTTCGTCCTATTGTGAGACTCTTAGGTAGTGCACATCCACGATCCCATGATTTGTGATTCGTGAGGGAATTCTCGTTTTTCTAGTAAGCAGGCGTGACCACTGGAGGTAATCCGTGTCGGGTAGAGACAGGTATTTATCTCAGTACAAAGCAGGATGGTCGTGTAAGTTCGTGGATTGGTTTAGGTTAGACATTAACACCGTTCGCGCGCGAAACCGAGGGCCCTGAGTTCGAATTTTGTGGTCGGGATCGTGGATGCCCACTAATGAATAGTCCCACAATAGGACGAAACGACCATCCAGTGATTCCAGGTTTTCATAAGTGCTCTATCATCAATCGGTTCATGATCACAATCAACATAAAATAAACCAGTTCAATTTTTTTTGGTTGGTCACATGTTTATGTTCATGAATTTATTCACAAAGAAACTATCGAAATCCCTAAATTTCATGAGTCAGTAACCGATTTCGAAATTGTAGACAAGAATTTGACAAACCAAATTATGTCTGCTTTCATTTAAATGACTGTTGAAAACAGAAAAGTAGATCACAGCTATCTTATGGTAGTCTATAAATCCTCAGTAGTTCAAACACATGATGCTTCCAGTTGTAGCACGTACAGCCTATAAGCAAATTGAGAATTAGGTCAGACTAGTGAGTTAGAGAGAGCAAACCAGATCAGGAAGAAGCGCTGGAAGTGGATAGGACACACATTGAGGAAAGCACCCAACTGCGTCACATGACATGCCCTCACATGGAATCTTCAAGGCCAAAGCAAAAGAGGAAGACCAAAGAACACATTACGCCGAGAAATGGAGATAGACATAAGAAGAATGAACAAAAATTGAGTAGAACTTGAAAAGAAGGCCGAGGAGAGTGTGGGTTGGAGAATGCTGGTCGGCGGCCTATGCTCCATTAAGCGTAACAGGCGTAAGTAACTAGGTAAGTGAGTCAGAATGAAATTGTTCACATTTCCCACTTCAATGAGATACCATGTCTAATAAAATTCGATATTATTAAAAAGGAAACAGATACCTAATCAAACTTCCATTATTCTCAATGAGTATTTTGATAAAAATGAGTTTGTAATGAAAACCTTACATAAAATATGATCATCAGTAAACTATTCCAATAATTAATAAAATTGACTTGATGTTGTTAACTTGTATCTTCCAATTGTTATTTAGGACTGCAGTTCATCAGTCTTTTGTTGGCATCTGTGCACCCTGTGCGGACTGCCTCAATATTGCCTGAAGTCACAAGGTTTATGAGCAAAGATGGATAGTGGCTAGCAATGGAATCCAGTTTGACGCGCGTTTTGTCTTATTTGGGACTCGTCATCTGGTGAGATGCAGGTACATCCAGCTGAAAAGTCCCAAATAGGTCGAAACGCGTGTCCTAGATTCCACTGCTAGGCACTATCCATCTTTGCTTATAAATTATTAAAATTGTTTATTACAATTTGTAATTAAATTCACTCTCCTCATAATCATAACATTATACAAAAATCATTAGCACCCAAACGCCCTGGTACAGCCGATAGTGGAGAGAGTCAACTCTTCCTCTCAAAATACTCTTACATCACCACGTAAATGCAACCACAGCCAACGAATTCCTACTCATCGCCTTCTCGCAGCATTAATTTTGTTTACGAAATGGATAGGACGAAAAGTGAATGTTCGACGCTTCTACTGGGTTGATGGACACGGAGAGTCCACTTAGGGGAGTTGTAAACCCTGATTACAAACCAACGGTGTACATGGACTCCAGGACCCTGAGGAAACAAGTAGAATATCAACCTATCGTTAGTCACCAGCTACCATAGGATTACATCTCTTAAGATTGTTCCACTACCAAGTGTTGCCCCTTAAGAAAGCCACCTGCTTCGGTTTGAACACCTTGGCAGTATCACAGCTCATATACAAATCAAAAGACTTGAGTCGTACATATCTATTTAGTGCCTTCTCATACCAATATTTATATGTTTAAATTAATAGTCTAGAGTACAACATTATTTATATGGAATAAGATCATTACTAATGATATGCCTAAAGTTGAAATTAGATCTATATTAGAAGATTTTAAAGTGTTTTAGTTAAATAGAACTTTGGTTTCTATGAGATTACTTGCATAGATATATATATACATATGTATAAATGTTCAAATTCCATTCCTGATAATGATGATAAACCTACTGATTGTCTCATTCTTCTTCTTCTTCTTCTTCTTATGTTTCAATTGTGAATTACATAATCAGTCATTGCATAATAATAATAATAATAATAATAATAATAATAATACTGACAGTATAGGTTATCATCTATTATGGACAATATGGAAATTACGTTATCATCAATATTATAGAAATCAAATTGATGAAATCAATTCTTTTACATTATGGAAAATCAATATTGATCAAATCTTATTACATAATTTATATTATGATTTACAATTAAAAACTTATCGTAAATCAATAAATCAATATACCGCTATAAATTGGAATGATTTTTATGAAAATAAAAAAAAGAAATTAAACTTATTACATCATCAAAAAAATCGATTATTAATATTATTAGTGAAGGAGAAATATAGAAGTTTCAATAGAACAAATAATAATCATAATGATTTACCAGATATGATTGATTCAGTCAGTCAGTCAGCTACAACGTAAGACCAGGCACATATGTGCATCGGTCCAGGTTGCCATACCTCATTAGCACAGCAAGATGAACAGCGGATTCATAGGAGTGGTTAGGTCAAAGGTTGCAATAAGGATATAGTATAGGAAGAAAGAATTAGTTCGTAGACAGAAAGAATGAAGTGATTGATTGGAGGGATAATGATACTGTGACACCAGTAAAATCACAAGTTAGTTTAGATCACATTCTCATCATTGGGCCCCTATCATTCGTTTCTTTCTTTTTTTTCAAGTTTGGTCTGTATTGAATAAACTAAGATGATAAACTTACTTAATGACTTACAGTGAGTTATTTCCAATGGAGGATAGGCTGTATGAGCCAGCATTCTCGAATTCATTCGGTCCTGAGTTTTTCCTTTCTAGTTTAATCCAATTTCTGTTCATTATTTTCATGTCTGTCTTCATTTGTTGACGTCATGTGTTCTTTGGTTCTGTAGAAAAATAACTCACTAAAAACAACGCTAACGCTAAGATCATTAGATCCAAAGTTTTTATTTCTTTTTGTCGTTTGTCATCATTTATTTGTTTCAGCTCCATTTTTTTGGAATGCAAAATATTGTTTGTGCCTGCTGAGAAGATCGAGTAAGTAATAGTGAGGATAGACGCTAGGGTATCATGGAATGATAATGGTAAACCAGTTGATAATGTTGTGAATCTTCATCGAATGAGATGGTTGGGTCACGTGTTCTTATGTATGCATGAACACCGATTACCATAACGAGCAATGCTGACTACTGTTGGAGACGGTTGGAAGAAATTTAGGGGCTGCCAAACTAAAACTTGGCATCAGTCCTTAAAATTACTAGCTTCTAGTCTTAGCCATGTTGGTAGATTCAGAATACTTGGTTGTGGTCCGTATGACTATCATAACCAATGGTTGGAAACTCTGTGTGACATGACTCAGAATCGATCAGAATGAGGTTGGTGTATACATTCTCTGTTTTCCATTAAGCTATGAGATTAAAATTACTTCATATCTTTCTTTCTACGAACTATTTCTTTCTTCATGTATTATATCCATATACACATACTTTCTTTTTTATATTGCTACCATTGAATTAACTACTTTAATGAATATGGTGGTCATCTTGTTGTGCTAATGCGGTACGGCAACTTTGATGGATCCATATATGTGCGTGATTCTACATTATAGCCGACTGACTGAATGACTGACAAACAATACTCTTTAGAAATACTCTTCTTCAAAACTGCTTCATTGTCGTTTAACGTTTTTTTCTTTTGTGTTCAGCGCTCTGTCATTTCAAATCAATATCTTGCACAAAATACTATGGTTTCGGTAGTTCTTACAAATTAATCACATTCATAAAATAAGAAAGATGACTTGACGTTGTTACTCAGTGAATGAGTGACCCGGCAGTCAATTTCAAACTAGAAGGTGAAGGAAAACAAAGTATTCACTTTCTCGATGTCGAAATGATTAGTAAACACGACTAATAAAAATACAAAACTCAGACCTCCTTAAGCACAGATAACCTCAGTGGAAAAGAAGGCACTTATGTGAACATTGATTTCAAAGGTGACATAGTTACAGACGCTTTGAAGTGGAAAATTTCAGACTCTCTCAAATAGAACATTCTTAGCAACCTTGTGAATACTGTTCAACAGTCGATCAAAGATCACCAATAATTTTAAAGATAAATGATCTCGTTTGATCAATTCCCTCTGTGTTTATCAATTTATGTGCTCATGCGGACCCAGGTATATCAGTCATTTGATGCTTATTTTATCAAAAAAAGTTCGAGAACGTTACTCAGTTTGGCTAGAAAGAGGTGTAAATAGCTCAATAATAAGTTCAATAAACGAAAAACTTGTGAACACAGGTCATTCATTCAGAGAGAGCTCTGTGTTCAAAGTCATCTACAAGGCAAGTAGAAAGCCGCCAAACACGGTTATATTCCATCTTGTTAACACTGCCAAAACAATAACTATACTTCTGGAAAAACCAAGATTATATGTCCAAAAGAAACTGGTACAACCTCTTCTTCGACCATGGCTTTATACTCTCGTAATATTTTTCTCCCTCCTTCATTCTTTTCTTCTTTCACAGCTGTTTATTTCCGTTCTGTCTTCTGTATGAACCATTTATGCTCAACAGCTTTCTTTCTGTTCCCGTGATCCTCCTGACCATAATTCATGTTAATTTCAACACTTTATCTTATCACTCTAAGCCTTTTCTTCTCCATTATAATCTCCCTATCAATCTTTATGATAGATGTTCATGCTGTCAACAACAAAATTATCAGTATAAAGTTGTAGAGATTGTCGAGTTTTTATTGAGATCATGAACGGATGAATGTTAGACAACCATTGAAAACCTGGAAGTACTTGACAGTCATTTAATTTCAGTATGGGACTCCTCAGTAGTGAGCATCTACCCTAAATAATTTTCCAGAATAGTATGCAGAAAGTATTCTTTTTAATTCAGATTACCAATCGAAATTCCCATGGATTAGTAGAGGTCAGGTGTTTTCAGCAGTAGAGGAAATTGAAGATCGTTTACAAGTAAGAACTTCAGTAAATAAGTTCACGTATTTATTTGCCAGGATATCTATGATTAATAAGATATCATCAGAATGTCTTCTTTCAATAGATTTAACTCAAATATACTGTGATTACTTTTTTCTATAGGAGAATTGTGCATCTTCATGGGCAATTGCCTCAGTTGAAGCGCTTGAAGGGCAAGTTAAAAGAAAAACAGGAATTCTTACTCCATTATCATCTCAACAATTGGTAGATTGTACTAGAGAGCATGAATGTGTAGAGAATCCAGTATCAGTAGCATTTGATTATATAAAAGAGTATGGTGTAGAATCTCAAGAAGATTATCCTTTTACTGGTAAAGTAAGTATATTATTGATTAGTGTATTGATTCAAAGCTACAAGACAATAGACTATTAGAATTTAAACTACAATTATTAGATGATGGTTGGAAGTACTCGAAAGGAAACCCTGGACGCGGGTCTAGTGCTATTTGGCACTCGTCAGCAAGGCGTACCTGTAATCTTGAGGAAACTGGTGCTCCCTGGCGGACTCGAACTCGTGTCACCCAGCTTCACAGTCAGAGACGTTACCATTGAGCTGTCCGAGCCGCGACTGACCTCCTGTAGGACTGAAATGTAATCACAATTATTGTTTAGAGAGTAACTATTGAACATAGAATGAAATCCAATCTTTAAGAATCATTTATTCTGAAGAAGTTTCTTTATACTCATACCAAAATGTTGAATAACTCAAGAATTAGCTTACATATTTTAGAATAAATAAAAACATTCGCTTATGAATAAGGTTTGTTTTTAGTTTATTTCAACTCATTTGAATTCTCAGTGATTTAATAAGGTACTTCAATCCGTCAGTCAGTTACAACGTAAGATCAGACACATACATACATCGGTTCAAGTTGTCATACCTCATTAGCACAACATGATGAATACCAAATACATAGAAGTAGTTACTTCAGTGGTAGTAATATTATAAAAAAAAGATTGTCTATAAGGATATAGTACAGGATGAAAGAATTAGTTCGTAGAATGAATGGTATAAAGCTATTTTAATCTCATAGTTTAAGGGAAGAGAAGATCAAGTGTGTGTACATCTACGTCTAACAGTTAGTTCACAATACCTAAATACTACGGCTTAATTGTTCGTCATAATAGGATGAAATAAAAAGATTGACGATGAACATATACCTTAGAGTATATTGTTAAGGGGTTGGACTTTTAAAGATGAATGAAGCCAATTAACAATTAATCATGTTGTAAAGAAACTTTCTTTTTCAGAGGCAATAACTGGATATCTAAATAAACAATGAGTAGAACATCTACAACAAATTTGGATACAATAAGAACGCTTCACTTTTTTTATTAAAAACAACAACAACCAAGTTCCATTAAATTCACAATCAAATCAAACCACATATATTACAACAATACTTACTTACTTAGTTACTTACGCTTGTTACTCCTAATGGAGCATAGGCCGCCGACCAGCATACTCTAACCCACTCTCTCCTCGGCCTTCTTTTCTAGTTCCGTCCAATTCTTGTTCATTTTACTCATGTCTATATCCATTTCCCAGCGTAATGTGTTCTGTGGTCTTCCTCGTCTCCTCATTTGGCCTTGAGGATTCCATGTGAGGGCTTGTCTTGTGACGCAGTTGGGTGCTTTCCTCAATATGTGTCCTATCCATTTCCAGCGCTTCTTCCTGATTTCTTCCTCCACTGGAATCTGGTTTGTTATCTTCTACATTAGTGTTCGGCCAATGGATCCGAAGTATATTGCGTAGACAACTATTAATAAACACCTGGATTTTCTGGATGATGGCTTTCGTAGTCATCCAGGTTTCACATTTATGAAGGTAGTTTTGGTTTATTATATACCCATGTCCAGTATAGCCTTTTGTTACCCTGTAATGTAGTCATTTCATGAAGCAATATGTACTTCTGATTAGATCATAGATTTTAATGGTAGAATACTTTTTTTAGCATGTTTCATTTCAATAAATATATTCCGACCAAGCTTCATAACCACTTTCAGTGGTGACTAACACTCAAAATTCTTATATATCTATGAGCTTTGCTAAAAGTTGTAAGTACAATATTTAGTAGATTTGTGTAGTTTTCTAGTGTACAGATGAACACTCCTGTTTCTTATATTTCAAATATCATAGTAAGTACTATTTATTTTTGAATTATTTAAACTACATTACTTTTGTAGTGTGTGCTACTGATGTCAATAGATATAAGTAGTATGTATTATTAATCGCAAATGAAATGTCTGATGTCAGAAAGTTACGAAGATTGAAGGAAATAGAACTAGAACAGAGAATGATTAGTGTGGAAATAAAAGAATAACGAAGTTTGTGACGACTAATTAACATTTTGTAAATGAAGTGTTTTCTGTATGGATCTCAGATTTTACTACGACATTCTGTTATTTTGTATTCAAATATATTCGATTGTCCCCAATTCTGTTCTCAGTCACTACATTATGAATGTGCCTGTTGAAAATTTAATGAAACGTCTGTAGATTGTATTGTCCTAGTTCCTGAACAGCACTTCATGTTTATCTCATCAAGTGCTATTCACGAGGTTATCATTTAGGAATTTTATAGAATTAGTTCTCTTTTTAAAATATAATAAAGTCTGCCTCATTTGTTGTTTTGGCTCTGTTCAAACATCATTTAGCAACACATATATCATAGTATGACATACACTGGGATACGTAATTATTTTTTAACTGAAAGTAAATCCTGAACTTATATTGTACTTCCCAAACAAATACTTTATACACCAGTCATTGTCGTCGGCGGCCTATGCTCCATTGGTAGTAACAGGCGTAAGTAAGTAATTGTCATCATAGATTCACAAGATTAACAGAATATCAAACATGTTCTTTAAAGTATTCTTTCACTATATGATTTATTATATAACATCTTAATCTAAAGATTTTCCAATGTCTTTTTAAAATCATTTTAGGTTGGAAATTGTAAATATAGTTCATCAAAGAGTGTGACAACTTTATCCTCTTATATACAAGTGGATGATAATGAGGAGGAACTTCAAAAAGCTGTGTATAATATTGGCCCCATAGCAGTAAGAATTACTATGATTCAGGAATTTCTCACTTACGGGTAAATAAATTGAAAATAATTATTTTAATAGTTGAGATCATAAGTCGATTGAAGCTAGATCACCATGGAAAATCTGGAAGCATTGGACGGTGATTTATTTTTCATGCACGAAATGTTACATCCTATCTAAGAAATCATGATAGTACTAACAACGTAGAAACTTATTTTTTTTAAATATTGCTTAAGTTCATAGTACAAGTACTTACAAATTCACACAAAATATACCAATCGAGCTACACCTGCTGTAACAACCGTTCCTCAAGGTCTTACCATGTCAGACAGGTCAATTGAAGAACGGTAAGACTAAGAGTAACAAACTCAAGGTCCGAAGGCGAAGTCGTACTGCTGACTGTACAGAGGTGTGACAGCAGTAAGGTGTTTCCTTCAGACAACAAGCATGACAGTGATGCTGCCTTCCCACAAGGAGGGGTGGGGTTGGAGAAGGTCAACCTTAAAAATCCACACCTCACCTTATCCCACGGATATCCGTCTCCAGAGGTATGGTTTCAACAAGTACAGAGCTAACACAAAACTTATTCATAAAAAGGTCGTGTGTGACCAACCTCAAGCAGTTCTATTTTGGGCACTGCGGTCACGCTCTCAGGTCACTAAGACCACCTCTGACCCAATTTCCTTTTCAGGTACCTCCAGAAGAACACTTCCACGGTGTGGGCGACCGGGAAGTGATAACCGCCCTCATACCTCTAACAGCACTCAAGACAAAAAAAATGAGGTCAATCAAGGCATTAAAAAATCAAATTAGTTTAGGAAGATACTAACCAAGAAAAGGAAATAGATTTAGGAGATAGATTTTTCACTTTATCCGCTTTATTATAACAGATATAGAGTGATGTAGTGATAATAAAGGCTTCATTTAATATTAGATAATTGGTCCCATATGGAATCTTCAGTAAACAATATTTCAAAAGATTTTTCATACACTTCTTATATCTTATATATATGAAATAGGTAAATTATGCAGAATGAAATGAAATACGCCTGTTGTTTTATCCAGTGGGGTCGTGGGTGCTCACTCTTGAGGAGTCTCATACTAGGACAAAACGGTTGTCTAGTGCTCCCAGGTTTGCTATAGTGGTTGTCTATTTAAAAAGTTTTAAATTCTTAGATATTTTAGTCAATAAAATACTTTTGTAGCTATTACAGAATATTTGATTGCTTATTTGAACGTGTACGGTCATCCGTTAAAGCCTGAAAAAAAGTTGGATTATTGTTGGCCCTAATGACCTGGGAGCGTGATCGCAGAGCCCAGGAGACAACTGCTTGAGGCCAGTCACGCACGGCCTTTTTGTGGGAGGTTTTTGACGTGTTAGCTCCATTCTTCAAAGGGCCTTACCTCCGGAGACGGAAATCCGTGAGGTAAGGTGAGGTGTGACATTTTTAGGGTCGACCTTTTCTAACCCCTTCCTTCCTTGTGAGAAGGCAGCATCTCTGCAGATGCTGGTTGTCCGAGGGAAACACCTTACTGCTATCACACCCCTCTACAGTCAGCAGTACGACTTCGCCCTCAGACCTTGAGTTGCTGCTTTTAGTCTTACCGTTCTCCAATTGACCTGCCTGACATGGTAGAACCTACAGGAACATATTTTCTAGCCAATATAGCTCTGTTGAGTCAACACGATTGGCAAGCCCGACCATCGCTTCAAGGTAGCAGCTGCGGTCGGGATCCGTCGAAGCCAATTTAGGAGGAGTTTGTCAATTGCTTGTATCCAAATAACTACCTTTATTAGCTTAATTATTAATTTCTAACAACTGTCCTTAAATAATTTTAAAACCAAACCTCAGAAAAATTAAGAGGGTTCATATAAATATTCTATTCATAATGCAACTGTTTACAAGTCAGGAGTGACTATGGACTTGCTGAGCTACTTCGTGAAGTATTTTTCATTCCTAATCCAAACTTCTTTGGTAACAATCAGCGCAATCATTATTTTTGGGCCATTTTATTGATAAACGTCCCGACTTTATATGTTCTACCATCAACTACTAGCCACTCATTTCGTAGAATTCCAATCAATTCTGTTTCGTTTCTCAGCTTTCTTTGATGAGATGATTTTTTTACCTGTTTGTGTGGATAATATATCAACTTGAATAGCAGAATTTCAAATCATTAATCGTCTATACTGCAAATCAAGTATATCCGCGAAACAGTTCCTTTTATATCTCGATAGTTACCAAGTTAATCCCAACTTGAAATCATATATGATGACTTCATCTTGAAATGTGAGATAATGAAAGTCATAAAATATTCACTTTGTTAGTTCATACAAGCCATTGCATGCTCACTTTCAAAGTTATTCCATAAGTAACTGAGATTCTATATTCAATCTCTCTAAAGATGATTAGTTAGTATTTAACTTTTTTTCTCAATACATTCAATACTTTTAAACAATTTTAATTGAAAAGTATTCAAACTATCTTCTAAGCCGAGTGATCTGTACATATTTTGGAATACTTAAATATTGTAGATTGGATTCCAATTGAATGGTTCTGTAGAAAAATAACTCACTAAAAACAACGCTAACGCTAAGATCATTAGATCCAAAGTTTTTATTTCTTTTTGTCGTTTGTCATCATTTATTTGTTTCAGCTCCATTTTTTTGGAATGCAAAATATTGTTTGTGCCTGCTGAGAAGATCGAGTAAGTAATAGTGAGGATAGACGCTAGGGTATCATGGAATGATAATGGTAAACCAGTTGATAATGTTGTGAATCTTCATCGAATGAGATGGTTGGGTCACGTGTTCTTATGTATGCATGAACACCGATTACCATAACGAGCAATGCTGACTACTGTTGGAGACGGTTGGAAGAAATTTAGGGGCTGCCAAACTAAAACTTGGCATCAGTCCTTAAAATTACTAGCTTCTAGTCTTAGCCATGTTGGTAGATTCAGAATACTTGGTTGTGGTCCGTATGACTATCATAACCAATGGTTGGAAACTCTGAGTGACATAGCTCAGAATCCATTACAATGGCGTAGGTGCCTACACTCTTTGTTTTCCTTTAAACTGTGAGATTAAAATCACTTCATATCTTTCTTTCTACGAACTAGTTCTTTCTTCCTGTACTATGTCCTTATGAGGAATCTTTCTTTTATATATTACCTCCATTGAATTAACTACTTCTATGTATTTGGTGTTCATCTTTTTGTGCTAACGATGTGTAGCAACTTGAACCGATGTATATACATGTCTAGTCCTACGTTGTAGCTGACTAACTGAACATAGAAAATGGTATCGTACGACACAAGGAAGCAACACTAAACTGATGACAAATGATTTACTTCATGATCTAAACTTGAAAAATTTATTCGTTTAATAATTAAAAAACATCTTCTTCTACATAAGGATTTACTCATATTTCCAATTCATTAACAAAAGTCATGCTGAAATGATACAAAAAAGTGTTAATCTACATGTTACAAACAGATTCCATGCTAAAGTGTACTGAGTGAATTAACATACTGAATTCATGTATGGTTTCAAGATTAACCCCTACCCATCATAATGCTATGTAGCTCAATAATCAGGTATCAGTTTACGTGGTCAGCTCTGAGTTAAACTGTTTAGATCAAGACTAATGTTACTATATGATAACTCAAACTGAAGTAGATAAAGTGAGGTTTAAATTTCCGAAGTCTGAAAGACATTAATCCATGTTAATATCGATTAGAACTCCGCCTGGAGTCCCTCCGGGGGCTACCGCCGGTCCCAAGCCCGGGTTAAGGAGGAGGGTTGGGCATGGGGTTAGCGACCCCATCCCGCAGAGAACTAACTCGCTAAAAAAACGCTAACCAGAAAAAATTATCCAAAGCTTTTAAACTCTGCCCTGGGAGTCAGAAGGTCTTCATTTAGAAGAGTTATAACTCCTCATATGAAAGCCGAGTTCCTTCGGAATTCACGACGACGATACCCCTTCTAACAACCAGAGCAACCATTTATTTAGGTATCTGGAATTGTCGTACAATGTGGGAGACCGGGAGAGTCTTCCAAATTGCTGCAGAATAACGACTAGATCTAAAAAAATTGTCAATTTACTTTCAATTTTAATCAAAGCAACTCTCATTGTTGTTGTTATTATTGTTTGAAATAAATTTATCTCTTTACTTTTATTATTTTATTTTATAGGAGTGGCGTTTTATTAATAGACGACTGTCAAAATGAAGAACCATTCGAATCCGTTTTACTTGTAGGTTATGGTATAGAGAATGAAATACCATATTGGTTAGTTAAATTTAGTTTGGGTGAAGAATTCGGTGATCATGGTTATATGAAATTAGCCAGAAATCATAAAAATATGTGTCATATTGCTAGTTTTGCATATTATCCTGTCATATGATCGATATTTTATGCCATAATATGAACTAATAATGAGCCGGTAAAAATCAATAAATTAGCCAAGTTCAACATAATGATTCTATAGTATCATTTATACTCTTCATTATTTTGTTTATTAAATTCTTTACCATACAGTTTGTAATATTATTCCATACCAAGCTTCAGTTTCCATGAATCGGATTATTTATATTGGTTTAAGCGTCTTTATTTATTTTAACACATTAATATTGGTACAATGAGGCACCAAATACATATGCGCCACACAAATCTCATTCGATATGTGTGAGAGCTATGATACTGCTCGGGTGCCTAAACCAAAGCAGGTGGTTTTCTTAGGGGACCACTCTCCGAGCCTTCGACCTGAAGGTTTGATCCAAAAGGCAGTGGAGCATCGTAAGAAGATGCAGTCCCATGGCTGCCGGTGACTAACAATTGGTTCATACGCCATTTGTTCCCGCAAGATACTGGGGCCCATGTACACCATTGGTTTGGAATCCGGTTAAAGCGCCGGACATTCGCTTTTCGTCCTCTCAATTTCGTAAACAATACCCCCGCCACGAGAAGGTAATGGGTAGGACTTCCCTGGCAGAGGCTATATACGCGTGGCCATGTGAGAGCATTTCGAGAGGGAGAACGGACTCTCCCCACTCTCGGCCGTACCAGGGCATTTGGAGGCAATTCACAGTTATATAATATACCCTTGTGGGTCAGGATAATTTTACATTGGTTTTCAGGAGAACCAGACACCATCCGAACTTTCGTGACAACCCAAACAGTACAGCTCAACCCCGTTTAACAAGAGAACCAGACACCCTATAGGCTTTAACGCTACAATCTGAATAGTACAGCTCAATCCTGTGGCGCAACCACACAGGTAACGAGCACCTTGGTGGACCATTAAGCGTCTTTATTGAATTGTAGATAACTTGTGAAGTGATTAAGAATGCTATCTCATGAGAAATTAAGCTCAAAAAGTGATATGTTTATGAGGATATCTTTAGCATGATTTAAGAAAATCACTGAGTCATTACTTGTTGATCATTGTAGAAAACAGTCTCTGTTTATTTAACAGAAAACAGGGATTGCAGAACTATGAGGTCATTTTCACCATCGTATTGCTCATACGATAAGCTATATAAAAATGTGTTGCCATACAATAACCAATAATATGGTCATTTTCATAATCCTAGTGGAAATCGTTTGGTCAATCAACTCAATAGGAACTCTAGACTTAGTAAAGCATATCACGGTACTCCTAGTTTTCATGTAAGATATAATCACCGATCTTTCTCTGTTCCGTACTCACTATCACTTCAGTAAATTTAAACTAAAATATTGATGAGACTTGTCGCCTTGGTTACTCAAACGTATAATATTTGGAACTAAGGGGACTAATATATAAGAACTTTCGTCTAAATTTGAACGGACTGTTTCACAGTATTTGGGCACCGAGTTGATGTGAGATAGTAAGGAGGAAGAATGTATTTGTACTTCAAATTCACTCGCTGATATTTTACAAACACATTCTTCCTTCTTAATAAGTAAGGGAATTGCTTAAGTATTTTCTAAATTCAGTCACAAGGCTTTCAGCAGTTAAGTTATTATCCAAAGCTTGAAATGAAAGTATGTTACTGGTAGAAAGTTCTGACAGTGAAGTTCCATCATTAAGGGTGATTATATTTAAACACCAGTTTTCTGTGCTACAAACATACTCATGATACATTCATATCCAAATATTTTTAGTATCGTTTAACACCAAAAAGTTTCAATTTTATGAAACATTGAGAATCCAGTTACTAACTATCCAGACTGAAAGTCAAACGAACAACAAACATTTCAATATAGCGTAGTGATTGATAATATACGTATTTGGCATTTTTTTAACTGAACAAAGGCACATTCACTTTAACTATAAGAAACCATGTAGACTAACACTTATAAGTGAATAGTATATCAATTGAGAACTTTTTTATTGAATGAATAATAAAGTATAACAAGTGAATGTATCATCAACATAGAGAAAAGTATATAGCAGATGAAAAATAAAGCGCAACATGATTGAATACAAATAAATGTATTATGAAATAATGTTGATACTTTAGTGAAAAATCTTATCAACAGTTTAACTGAATTAGAAGTTCTTGATGAATCTAGTCGAAAGTGCATACTGTAGTGAAGCAAATATCCATCTTTACTAATTATCTTCAAAACCAACCATTAACCGAAAATCCTTCGAAAAATACGTAGTTCATGACTAAAGGTGAATGGAAAAATGTTAAGATAAATTTATTTGTAGAATATTTCATATCACTGAAATGTTTATTGATAGACAATTATAAAGAAATTTTACCTCCAATCTTTCCAAAACGTTTAAGCTACATATTTCAGACTGTGAAACAAGTTTTGAAGACAGTTAAAAAGAAAACAATCTCCTAAATGAATCTCTCAATTAAATTTAGACTATTATCTTGGCAAATCTCCCAGGACTAAGCTTGGTGTAACAGAGGTGAAAGCAGCAGTTTATCATAATATTCTTGTTCAGTGATTCAATCAATTAACTCTTATATTTTTACTCAGAAATACGATCTTTAGTTGTATTCGGTTTGAATCAAACATTATTAGACCACTTCTTTCTCCTGGAATCAGCTTAAATAAATATTAACGGTTGAGATTGCACATAAAAATATTGTAACTTATTGCATTTCGACACTATTACGACCTTTGTACTGTGGTAATCCCACGTAATTAACGACTATTCCTATTTGTTACTTTATCTTGCTAGTGGCGGCGTCCGAGATAAGATCGATTCACGCGTAGTGAGAGCCAGAGGGGCTAATTACAATCTGGGCCACCTTTGGCGCCTTCGTGATCTTAGTCTGGAAGTAAAAGATCGGGTCTACGACGCGTCAGTGAGGGCAGTTTTTCCCTGTTTGTGAAACCTGTCCACTTTAAGTTGAGGAAGTGAGACAAATGTGCTTGGTTATCGTTATCTCTAAAGGATTACTGACACAATAGCAACACAATGTTAGTAATGTGCAGGTTTGGCAACCGTGTGTTCGGACACAGTGACGATAACTCAACTAGTGTTACCATCATGACACAGTGACTTCGATGGCATGGACATGTACTATAAATATTTTCTCAGGGGATTCCACATCGTGCATTTTCTTACGTCATGACTGGTTGTAAGAAAGTGGAGAGGTAGTCAGTGTATGACAAGGTGTTGTAGTATGAAAGCTGTACAATACTAGCTTCTGTTGGTCCTTCATGACTCCCTGGTAGGAGTTCTAGAGATGGTGCAACGCTGGCTTGAGATGTTATCAGAAATGGTACGGAATAGAAGCCAATGACGTTGCTACTGTAACTCACTTTTACTTTCTTTATGTAGGTGAGGGTAACTTCTTTAACTGAAGAAATTCTTTCTGGTTGTATTTTCCCCGAACTACCTCTCCTATTATTGTTATTTCGCCCCCCCCCACACACACACTAATTTCTGTCCGTTGTTGTTCTTTTTTATTATACTCAATTTCTTTTCTCGACCTCTTTAGAATCTCATTTTTGTGTGGCACGTCGACACTTTGGTCTCACCTTGTACCAATGTTTATGTGTCTAAGTAATAATAATTTAATTTTGTAAGATATTGTACACATTGCGACATCTACTTATTACATTATGTTCACTAAAAACATGAACGCCTACTTTATAGTCCCGTGTTTATTTGGCTAGTTTTTTCCGGTGTATTAGTTAGCGAATTAGGAAAGAGTGAATTAAGCGTGGATTATCAAACATGCTAAATAGGTAAGAACTTTCGTCTAAATTTGAACGAATAGTTTCACAATATTTGGGCGCCGAGTTAATTTGAGACATTAAAAAGAAGAACATATTTGTAAAATCTCAGCGAATGGATTTTAAGTAAATCCAACGTTTCGCCTGGCAATCTGGTCCAAGCTTTTTCAAGGAAAATATAATCAAACAACAAAATTATCGAATATAAATAGGTACATGGTTCTTCGGTTTACTGTATACTGAATAAGTCATCCAATCAACGTGAAGGATTTTCTTATAAATAGGTATTTTCAAATGAACTTTTATTTGGTTGACCTTTATTATTTTTCATATAAACATGTTTCTTACACATTAATACAAATACCTATTTATAAAAAAATCCTTCACGTTGATTGGATGACTTATTCAGTATACAGTAAACCGAAGAACCATGTACCTATTTATATTCGATAATTTTGTTGTTTGATTATATTTTCCTTGAAAAAGCTTGGACCAGATTGCCAGGCGAAACGTTGGATTTACTTAGAATTCATTCGCTGAGATTTTACAAATATATTCTTCTTTTTAGTGCTAAATAGGGTATCAGAGTTAGCATAAAGTCAGAAGTGTCATTGGCGTGAGTGAATCCATAACCCTTCCTTAATTATTAAAGCATATTCATTTGTTAAATCACTTTAGTATTTCTCATACTCTTATCTTTTTGATCGAACCTACACTTTATCTTTAACGTTAGTATTGTTAATTAGGCAGCTTTGGGTAGCACGTCAAATGAAATGAAGAAATATTTGGCTGAATATTATTAGTTATATATTTACGTTACTTATAGTTAACAGCTTTCACGCTTATAAAGTAGCGCTCAGAGAACCGCTGTATATTACTTATTTATTCACGACAAAACTTAATAATAGGGAACTAAGAGACAATTATCAGTTTTTTGTAATGTCCTCTCCAGTTGATAATCAACAAGTATTCGGAATACTGCATTTGTTTGAGGTATTTTAAGATTATCCTTCACGAATAAACTTGGATCTAAAAAAGGTAGACTTATGTTGATTTACATTGTAGTGTAAGTGATAACAGGTATTCAAAATATCACACAACAATAACTAGTGTGCACATAATCGTAATATATCACTAAGTATAAAGTTTTAACCAATGATTTATAAATATCGACTCATAACATAAACAATTTAGAATTCTCAATAAAAATGACCAAAAATTAAGTGAAACTGTAGATCAGGAATATTACATTCACTCATATGGTGCATAATCATCAGTTTATTATTACTATTATCACTAAGAAATGAAGAATTAACTAAAAAATAGTTAGACGTTCTACCCAAAGTTAATTCAAAGCACAAAAATCCCTAACAGATGGAAGAAAGATAAGTATAAATAGTCAGAAAATATACGTTAAAGTATATCAAAATGAAATAGATGGCGAATAACAGGAATCTCGAAATAATGTAAACTAAAAGATTCTCGTAGATTATATGCATGCAACATTGATAGATATTTGGCATTTTATACTGATATCCCACACTTTTCCAAAAGTGACACTGGTACATCTCCTTGATCTATGTACTGGCACAACTCGAGTAACTGAATTAAGTTAATTATATTGCAAAATTTGGCAAACAGCTTACTTTGTCAATATCACGTTTCATTTTTATAACAGTGAGCTCACGCAATCGTACACTTTCAGCTAGATATTGGATGCGAAGGGCTTTTCGTTTTCTGCAATCCTTGGCGCTTTCCGAGCTTCTCGAGGTTGTAGGAGCAGTTGTGTCAACAATTAGGTTATTGTCGAAAACTATGTGATTATCACTAATTGGTCGTTTCATCTACCACGTGTTCAGAAATGACGGCTCTCCCTAAAATCACAATACACAGGAAACTCTTTATTGAAGTTTGTTCCATGAAACCTTTAGTTTCCCTATAAAGGTAATGCATCTTATGAATACGAGAATCCGAATTAATAACATGATAAAGATTTCAAATATTTTGAAACAGTCACTGACTTAAACCACGTCAGAGATCGAGGTCAGTTAGATGAGACTACATCCAACTCCTAGGACTCAGGTCAGTATCTTAGTCAGCTTAGCTAACAAAATTATACCTCCATTTTTAAATACCTCTGGAGTCAATCTATCAAAATTCTGCGAGCCAAACCTGTTGTACTTAATCACAGACACTTTTCGAAGATAACGCTTTTGTCATCCGACTTCTTAATGATTAATCTATCAGAAGATTCAACTATCGGATTAGGATGCGCTGAGATGCACCAACGGGATCCAGTCAGATAGAAATTTACCTTTTCAAAAGGTATTTAACCTTTAAATAAACCTTTGACGGGATCGTTTGTTTGAGTCATGAAGAGAATGAGTCTTTGGAGATAAGAATTAATTGGACAGTACAGATTATAGGTATGGAAACGAAACTAGAGAGTAAATGGAAAATAATTAACTAGTTACTTCTTGGAAATTAATGATAAATACATGAACGAAAAGGTTTCCCCAACTATTTTTTCTCACTCTCATGTCAGCTTTACAGTAGTGATAATTAAAAAGTGAAAACCATGACACATTATTCTGTAGTGGTGATCACTACAATTCTTACATAGTTTCTGAAATAAGACTAATATACATACAAAACACCAAGATGAATCCCATTCACATCAATGGCTCATAATGGCAGTGACCATATAGTTGACATCTAAACATTGTACGAAAATCACGTTATGTATAAAGCTTGATCGCTAAAACTTCAAAAAATGGAAACTTGGTCAACTTAATTTGGTTGGTTTTAATTCCTGAATGCGATGAATTCACCGAAGTCCAAAGGGTCTCTACAAGAGAACAACCAACGAACCATGAACGATTTAGACACAATATCTATAAAGACAGCAGTTCTCAACAAACAAATACTGGTTTTAATCTTTATCGATTCAACAATAGCGAAAAAAGTAATCTGAAGATGTCTATCGACATTTGAACCATTTGACATGGTCGAATAATCATAAGCGCAACAGTGAAACAGATACTATTAAACAAGTAAAAACGAACTATCTGAATCCCGAAGCCTGTGTTTTCAGATAAATTAGGAACAAAATGATAAATTAGAAAAGCTTCTAATACAAAAACCTCAAGTAACGCATAGTGTTGATAAGCGCCTCACTGTATCTGTAGTTGGTTAACATACACATATTGTTGTGTATAGTTGTTACTATATATTACATTTTTCATTATTTCACTTGATTTATACAATCTTTGTTATTGATCACAAAGTTGTTGTCAATGCTTGACCTTGACTTTTCTGTTCCTACTATCTTTTGGCTCGTGATACATTCACTGTCACTTAAAAATACACTACGTTCACAAAATTAGCGGTCATACCACTAACTGCTACTCTAACGGATCATTACGATGACCGTTATCTATGTGTACAGATCATAATTGCCTCATCATAACCAGACTAAATTCAATGTATTACTTTAAATATGATATAAATGAATTATTACACATAAAATTTTTAGATATAGTAAGCAAACTGAACAAGTGGGGCCAAAAATTAGGAAGTAGAGCCCAAAGTTTTATGAATTTCAATAGGTTAGCATATTATAGTTGAACCAGTGAAATGTCACTGAGCCCTAGCCATTTTATCCGGCATTCCCGTCACTGAATGACGAACAGTTCGCTGGTTCTCTCCATGGTCAAGGGCAACCAACGCGCACAAATTAGTCGCATGCCATGGACAGGCTCGTGCAGCATAGTTCGCGTTCCGCTTCTTGTACCTACTCTTGGTGATATTTTTCTATAATAACGCTGTTCGTGTTTTATGGTCATCAAAGCAGACATAGTACCTCAATAGGACGAAAAGTTAATCCATATTAAGTAATAACCGTGAGGTGTGGCTTCTCCATTGGCTGGTTCGTCACACCAATCCAATCTAACTTGAGTGTATTCCCAATCGTCCGATACAGATTATCTACGTTGGTGATCTACATCACTATGTCACTCTACACTGTTCAGTCAGTGTGCCACTCTTTTTCTGGTTATTTGGTCACCCACAATTTGACGCTCACCTATTGTACCGAGTTGAAATCTCCACACTATCAGTTTCTGTTTTCGGTTTCCAATTTGTCTTAACCTGAGGCATGCGTTATTATTAATTTTCATCTATTGCTTTCCTTACTAAACGTAAGTTTATTTTGTGCGCTTGCGGTATCTTCTTGTCCCCTGTTGTATTGTTCTTCTCTTTTTAATTTCATACAACTCGCGTTACTTCCCATGCTTCTTTAGTGCACAAAGTACTTTTTGGCTGAACTCGAATCGAAACACATGTTCTAATGAAATCTTCGCAACCTTCAAGCCCTGGCTATGTAGTATTAATAACTCATTTACAGAATCTGCGTCTGAATAGTAGGAAAGAGATTTTGACATTAAAATAAAATTACAATTGTTATTCTTCAATCCAAGATTGAACATATTCAACTTTGATGAAGATGTTCAGGGAGCTATACATTAGTCTAATTCACTTTTCACTGAGAGGGCCAAAGTAAATGCAGAGTCTTAGTTTATAAGGTCTCCAGCAAATCATCGAAATGAAGTTGGTTCCGCTGACAATGTAAACTTTCATAGACATCACTCTCCTTCCTAAAAACGTTTTTAAGCCATTATGAAAGCATCAGTATTCAAAGTGAAAGCAATCTGTAGGTGTACAGTACCGGTTTGAAGATTCACTAATTTCCATCTTTATATTTGTTTCGTACATCCTTCCTGGCGGACCATCATCGGCCTAAAATAGCCAATCAACACGGGGAAGGAATATGACCAACTTTGTTGTACTCGTCACTCTAGAATTGGTTCCATCACGTGTCTAACAGCATTGGTATGGTTAGCAATATTCTCATAGATCTAGCGTATTGAGGGTAATACTTACGAAGTTTTGTTTTGGCCTTTCAGCTTGAGAAAGTTTTTAATTGTCAGCCCTGTTAAGAAGCGACGACTACGTAAAATCTCTGGATGCCTGAAGCAGAATTTTTAATCTGGGAAGATCAACCTTCTGCTTACAAAGGGCAGTCCTTCAAGAGGTGTGGGAGAGAGTTTTAGCATTCCCTCACAATGTTTTTTTTGCGTTCAAAAAAATGCATTGGGTTTCCTTAGGTCTGTTCCGTGAACTTATGTTTAGACTACTTCTTAAGACCTGCATTGGTGACGAGAGAACACAATAGTTGCATAAATAACATATCTTCTGGGTCATCTTGTTGCTTCAATCAACTTCATCCAACTCAACTGGTATGACATAATGTGATCAACATCAAATTTTTTCTATCTATGTTGACTATATAGGATCTTTTGGGTTTAATACCACCCAGCCGATCTTCCCAGTAAAGCCTCAGTAGTTTCAAAAGTTCTCAGTTCATTGAGTATGATGGACTCTCGGTTCAGCTTCCCAAGTACGTTTATTTACGAATGCCTCGTGGTGCCCAACTATCATGATTTTCGTCCAATCCAAAGTATCTCCACTGATTTATGGAAGTCAAATCAAATCAAATCTGTACTGTGCTAATTCAACCATATTTAGATGCTGACTTTGGCAAACGCGTTAACACGAATCGGTCATATGGAAATCATTCGAAAAGTTCACAATATGAAAATAAATAACTGAATGAATTGTGTATATATGTGTAAGATTGAGTTACTAATAGGTGATATTAGGTGTTGATATGTTTTTATATGAAGTAAAAAAAATAAAATTGCATGCTATAGGTTGAAAAACTATTCCTGAATCATTGATAAGAATATAAAACAAGTTATCATATACATAATTATATTGTCAAAATAACTCATATTAATTTCAGTCAGAATAAGGATACATGTAAAATAAACAGGTTGGATAAAGAAAGGGTCCAATTGCTTGTTACCGAATACTTGCCATGTAGTTGAATATCATCTTTTCTTTTCAAGCCATTCTCATTGGCCCATATATATATATATATATATATATATATATATATATAGCACTTCTGCTATCAATCTACGTTTACGAGTGTTAAAACGTTTCTGAAATATTTTCGTCCGTTCAAAATTGGTTTTTTATCCTGTTTCCAACGCATGTAACGCCATCGCCGGCTTATTCTGAACTTTATGTAGGTCAACATAGGATTTGGAATATTTTTTAGACATTGTTTATGTTCCTCCAAACTAACATTCAACTGTCTAGAAGTTTATCCAAGAAAGACTGCATTACAATAATGACAAATGATCTCATTGACAACATTCTGTTATTCTTTCATTGGGAACCTGTCCTTAACTTTCACCAATGCTGATATTATGGTTTCAGAAGCCCTAAGATACGCTTTTATATCATGTTTGTTTAGAATCCTCGTGGTGTCTTTCGGTGTTTCACTACGGTAAGTGATTTTCAAGGTGGACTTCCAGTCTTTCGGTATACATTCTAGTTCAGTTTTTCTTTCATTTTTAATAATCATCTTTAAAACCTATTTGGGGTTATTCATATTCCTATGAGTGGACAAAACTCAGATTTGATTCAACCCGTTAGCCTTCCATATCTGTAATAAGATTATTACTTCTGTTAATTAAATTTTTTACAACTGCCACTTTCATACAAAACACATCAGCCGAATCACAATCTAAGTATCTCTCAGAATGTGTCGATTTCCTGAATGCATTTATTTTCAACTTACTAATGTCTTCGTTCAACCGAACAATCGAAAAACGCTGATTGTTGGTCACTGGATTCTATCTCCTTTGTTAGCTTAATGCTCTTCCAAATGCTGTTTACATTTTTAAACAATTCTTCTAAACCATCCCGTTCGATGTTGATAAAAATGTCATCTACGTGTCGTAACGAGAATTCCATGGATATACATCTTATGACCGCACTGGTTTCTAGGTAGAAACTGGTGCACAAGTAGTGGTATTTGTCATAACCAAACAATCCTCAAAGCTAGACGTAGAATAACTGGAAAGATAGATATCCAATACTTAACACGGAGAGCAAGCCAAAAATAATGAATGCGGGAATATTCAATTGAGTTCAATCGAGTGGCATGGGTCAGTCTTGCAGACGTGATCATTATATATAACTTGTCTTTACTCACATTGAATATATATTTCTATATTGAGCTTAAATGCGTTAGTTACTGTTGGGATATTCCGGAAAATATCCCAAAAATTGTCCTGTTAAGCCTAATGCTATCCTTGGACATGAAATGGTATCATCTTATTGGTTAATATTTGTTTAACGTGTTATTTTCCTGTTGGCCAATATTGTACAATGTTATTTTCTATTTTATGGTACGTTGTGGACTGCTTGACTGGTATATAAACAAAGCATGTTTGAAATATAATGATTCATATATCCGAGGCTGAGACTTTCGTTCTGGACTCAATTGGCTGGGTTAAACAGGGAAGCGAGGCCAATCAGAACCCTAGGTCGTTCTACGTGTTTGTGCGTCTTTGGTCCGATCAATAATTCGCTACCCTTAACCAGGAGCATTCATTTTTCACGTTATAACAATTGGCGACGGGGTGAAGAAAAGATACAATCCAAAGTCATTCTGTAATTGGACGAAATCCTGTCTAATTATTTAACCAATCAGTATCCAGATTGTCATCAGTGTCCTTGAACCACATTGGTCATTAGTCATACAGTAATTTTCATCACAAGTGCTGATTCAAAAAAATGACTCTCCCTTCCGATCGATTACAGCTGCTCTTTGAACGACATTTGGAGTTATTAGTCAAATTCCGCACGCAGCTGCTAAATCACTCATGCTATGAAGACGCGACGGAAGTGGATGGATTGATATCTGAAATACACAGTGAGCTGGAAAATGACAGCAGCCTCCATGAATCCTCGGTGAACTGTACTTCAAACGAAACAGTCATCCATCATGCGCCCAGTGGTCCAGTACTTTCTCTTTCAGAAACATGCCCGGTAATGGAGTCAAACTCCATCAACCCCGAAACAGCATGTGCAGACAGTAACATATCCAGCTCACGAGATCTCATTGTTTTGCCAGAAAATGTGTTTCACGCATCAACTAATAATCAAGAACCTGGCACAGTTTTGTTGGGCACGGATTACCATAATCATCCATTATCTACTAATGATGTTCCTTATAAATTTGACCACAATATCTCAGAAGATTTGAACTCGGATGATTTCGAATTGAGTGGTGTTTATTCTCATTATCTGGTCGATTTTAATGGATTTCCTGTGCAATGTGT